AACATATGAATATAGTCAAAACAAATCAACATATTGACTATATTTGAAAATGTACCCCTCATCCACACCTCTAGTCTACCACCTCCCTGTTAGAAGGCAGGAAGCTCACTTACTATGGTCCAGCCACATTGGCCCATTTGCTGTCTCTCATTTTTGACATTCCACCTTCCATTTCTATATCTTTGGAACATGTCTTCCCCTTTATTGGAATACATTATCTCCTTACCTCTGCATCTTAGTGTAGTGATATAAACTCTGGGAATCCTTATCCAAAGGCGTACTCAGTATCAGGTCACTTCCCCAGAACATGGCTTGCTACATTTCTCTCTAAAGGGGAGGTTTTATCTAATGCTATTGGCTGGATCTCCGATTTGAGTGTATCCTCCTTAATATTGATCACATAGTGGCAGTTAATATCTCCTCAGTATCATTGATGTCAGTTATTAACACTCCACTATTCATTTACTCAGTTGGTTTCTCTTCAATATTTATTGACCAACTAACATCAATTAGCCTTTGCCAGGGGATATTTGTTGAAAAAAAAATTTAGCAAAAACGAAAGTACAACAATGTTCCCTGGTACTCCAGCATACTTTCCTTTTAATATTTGGATTCCTAAGGAGATGGTTTCAAACTTAAATGTTTCTGGATTTCTGGAAGTAGGATCTCTACTGAGCTGGTAGTAGGCTGGGCTTCATGCATGTGCTAGGCTAGTCCCCATGTTACATTAGACTCCCCAGCTTCCTTTAAAGATCAGCTCAAGTGGCACTGCCTATGAGATTCTTCCTGTTTTCTCCAGATGCTTGTGCCTCTTTTCCCCAAATTACTTTATATTTACTTTGTACATCTTTAAAAAAAACCTCTCATCAGATCTGATCTGACCATCCCCGATAGTTAGTCCTATGTCTCTCCTCTCTTTCTCAGCAAAACTTCTTGAAAAAGCAACCCGTATTTCACCCTCCACTTACTTTCCTCTCATTCACTCATCTTCCACAGGAAGAAACAAAGTGCCAAACACAGGTTCATTACCTTGTAAACTCATTAGATTGATCAAGGAATTCCTCTGACTAGCCCCCTGACATCATCTGTATAAATACAGCCTTAGTCATACCATTGATCCATCATTTTCTAACTGTTACTCAATGATATTTTGCTAATTTCTCTTAGTTTAATATGAAACATTTGTGTATTACATACATGTACATACATACTTACATTCATACATGCAAATATTATATATATATGCTCACACACATACATACACACAACAAGTATTTACTATATATAAGGCTGTATTCCAAGACACTGGGAACACAAAGACAAAATGAAAAAATTTCTCCCACTCATGGAGCTTACATTCTACTGGGGGATACAACATTTACACAGTTAACTTAATACAGTATAATCTAAAGAGAGTGAAAGCGAACAGCAACAACAACAACAACAACAGCACATTATTTTTTCATGGATATTCTCCAGGTGATTCTAAATTGCTGTGAATTCTGGAACAGCACAATCTCCAAAGAGTCAAAATGGTGCCTCACCCAAAAGAGCAACAAAGTGATGCCTGGCATTTTTTGAGCAGGCTGTAGCAAATCACCAGTGTCTGTTCTCATAGCAAATAAAATTGAGTATTTCTCCTAATCCAAGCTTGAAGAGGTATTACGTATACATCTGAAGTTCCTTATTTTTATCTGAAGTCCCTGAGCATCTGAATTTCCCACTTCTGCTTTGAATAGCTCAATATGTTGGCCTGCACTTTTACGGACTGAGTCCATTAAAATGCAAATAACTGATGAAACAGGCAGAATTCAGACTGCATTTCTTATAAAGTAGGCTTCTGTAAGTCTCATCAATGACTGAGCAGTCCAGTTTTACTCCTGCATGCATTTAAACAGAGATGAATCATGGCACTGTAATTGCCCTTATGAATATAGCAATTAGTTGGGTGTTTGGGCTTCTTTTTCATCTGTTCGCATGAGGGACAATTTTAATTAGAGAGCCAAATGACAATTAAAATCTGAGCTTGATAGACTGAACCAATTCTGGGAATCAAGGAGGTAAGCTGCTTCAACTTTCTGGGCCTCAGTTTCCTCACTGATTAAATGAGGGGGCTGGTCTAGCCTGATTGCCTTTCCGAAATTTCCAGTTCTATTCATTCTAATGTACCATTTTGAAACATGATATTTTTGTACAGAGAGTAATGCTATCCCTCTCGATTGAAATCAATGATCCTATGACTTGAGGTGTTCAAAAGTTTGCTGCTTAACCCATGACTCTTACCAGTTAGATTTTTTTCCTTTTTATTGGTAGCCACGTCTTGCCCATGCTCTGGGAAAGCAGGGCCTACTCATGAACCTCATCTCACTGCTGATCAAGGCAGGAGCTCTGACATGCTCTATATCTCACCTGGGCCATTTCATCATTAGGCAACCTGGCTCTGGGGCCTCAGAATATTGATGCCACACTTAGGTTTGACACTTAATCTTCAGTTCATAGTACACTGCCACTCAGACTAGTAAATAGCTGGGATTATAGGCATGCATCACAAAGCATGGTAGATCTTTTATTTTAAAAATAGGTTTTCATTGCTATGTGTTATTTTTTATAGCAACCTATATTATAGCCAGTGTTCTTCCTTCCCACTGGCAATAAGCCATCTCTTATGACAAAGGATTAAGAAAAAGAAAAAAAGAAAATGAGGAAGAAAAAAATAATTCAGCAAAATTGATCAATACATTGAGAAAAATCATGACATTACATGGATTGTTTCATACCTGCAAAACTCACAACTCTGCAAAACATCAGAAGGAGATGTTTTCTCATATCTCTTCTTTAGGCAAAGCTTGTTTTTGTAAATGACTTCCTTGGGGTATATGCCTAGCAGTAGAATCTCTAGGTCATTACTTTATTTGCAAATTTCAAATTGCTCTAACATAGTTTAGAGCATTGCATTGTTATACAATGCATTATTGTATATATTTTTCCACAGGCCCTCCCACACTGACTAGATTCATCTTTTGTCATCTGTCATAAAGTCAAAACACAGGGTTGTTTTGATTGTATTTCTATTAATTTCATATAGATGTTAATAGTATGTTATTTTTTTGAGAACTGTTTGATCATATCCTTTGACTATTTTTTTTTAATTGGGAGTGATTTTTGATCTTAAATATATTTCTGTTAGTTGTCTATACATCTTGGATATGAAATCCTTACTAGAGAAATCTGATACAAAGAATTTTCCCCCAGTTAATAACTTCCTTTCTTATTCAAGATGCATTAATTTTTTGGTGCAAAGTCATTTTAAATCCATGTAATCAAAATGATCTATTTTATCTTTTATAATTGCCCCATCCCTTATTTGCTTAAGAATTAATTTCCTACCCCTAACTGTTAAAGGTATAAGATCTTCCTGTCTCTCATATTTAATATGCAGGTCATATATTCATTTTCAACATATTGTGAAATGTAGTATAAGATGTTTGTCTAAGTCTGATTTCTGCCAAACTACTTTCTAGTTTTGTCAGCAGTTCTAAGTAATTTATGTTTTAGTTTATCAAATACTGGGTTATTGAATTCCATTATTTCTGAGTCTTATTTGTCTATTCTCTTCCATTGATTTCTATATTTGACTAACAATAATATTAGCTAACATTTATATAGCATCTCTCTGTGCCAGACACTGCATGAAGTGCTTTTTTTTTTTTAACAAATATTATCTCATTTGATCCTTACAACAATCCTGCGAGTTAGGTGCTATTATCACTCATTTTACAAAAAACTAAGGGAAACAGCATCAGGCAACTTGCCCAGGATCACACAGCTGGTAGGTATGGGGCCATATTTGAACTCAGGTCTTCCTGACTCCAGGCCCAGCCTTCTATCCACTGTGCTATCTCATTGTCGAACATACCAAATGATTTTGGTGAATGCTGATTTGTATTAAATTTTAAGCTTTGGAAGTGTTATTCCCTCTTAATTCCTATCTTTTCCTCTCTTATTACTTTTCTTGATAATCTAAATCTTTTGTTTCTCCAAATTAATTTTGTTATTATCTTATCAATGTTTGTAATGTATCCCTTTGGTAGCTTGATTTGGATATCATTAAATATGTAAATTAACTTGGTAGTATTATAATTTTCATTAGAATAGCATGGTCCATCCATGAGTACTACATATGTTTTCAACTATTTAAGTTGCTTTTTAAAAATTTTTTATAAGGAACACTGTATTTGAATCTATTTAAGGATTGAGTATGCTTGAGTAAATTGACTCCTAAATATTTTCTACATTTTTTACTTCTTTTGAATAGGATTTCCCCTTCCAATATTGCATTTTACTAATTGGATCTTATCGACAATTCAAAGTATGATGAAATTTGAGAAAATGTGAATTTAGTATAGTCAAGATCCTTGCCCTAAATAAGACAAGCATCAGTTGTGTTTACATATACAGACTAGCTGGGAAAGAAAATTAGCTGAGCTTAAGCAACAAGTTATTTTGGAAACCAGTGATTGGTAACCAATTACATGAGCAAATTTGATAAGCTGTTTTCAAATGAAAGGGATATTAATTGAATCTAAGTGATGATTTTTCAAAGTTGTATGTATGTGTATGTGTATGTATATAGCCAATGTGATAAGCAGTTATATATTTCCCTTCCAGGTTTACTTGTCAATGGAGGTTTTCTGGGTGAAGCCAGGGTTTTGCCATTGTCATTTGATCCTGACCTTGGTAGACCCTTCACCTGCAACACCCATTTGGTTTTTTAATAATGTTCTGATCTCTGCTCAGTGAGCATTATTCAAGGCCATTACAAAATCCCCAGGGAGTTATTAATTCTATGTCCTCTGAGTACCACTGGATTGAACATTAGATGTTGTGTACTCATTACATCCTGCTTTAATAAAGTAGACCTCCTTGCACAGTATATACAGATAACGATAACTGGAAAATGCTTCATTTGTAAACATCTCCAAATTTAATTGTGCTTTCAGAGAAATGCAAGAGAACCTCGAGGGCAGTGCCAAGGCCACAAACTCAGGGATGGGTGCACTGTGATGGAAGTAATAAGACACATGCATAGTGGCTCAGTGAGTAAAAACAACAACAACAAAAATTCTCCATTATTTTCTTTTACAAAAATGGATTGAATTAGGAAGACAGATGTACTTTTCTATTGAGACTTATTGTGCTATATTTAGGAACACTGAAACTTTAATTACACAGACTATATTTCTTTACCAAACTATTTGTTGCAAATTGGTTGTTAATGCCTTTGAAATGTTAATGATTTGTATTTCTTATGCCTTTTATTTCACATATTTGGCACATCTGGTTGGCCTACAACGCCTTTCAAATGTAACTTTTAAAAAAGGCAGCAGTGGAAATTTGACAGGTAACCACTGACAAAAGAATGGACTTGATTATCCTCACAAAGACCATTATATTAACTGTTGAGTGTTTACTTTCATGAGTGTTATAAATGCTAGCAGGCATGTCTGTACATTTTTGCTTGAATGTTAAGTCTATATATGCTGTTATTTGGCTAATTCACAATTTCCCATAGAGTCACTTCTTCAGTAAAGCTCTGTCTGATGCCTCATTATTGTTTGGAAATGACCCCAAGTTTTGAAAGGCAGTGAAAACATTGGAGGGTGCAAGAAAAACTGAGAGTACAGGCCCAAGGAAGAAGTAACTGTGTTCTACCTTCTGTAGATCACTCTACTTGTATTTGGAGAGGTTCATCCACAAAATGCAGGCTACAGCAACTCATGAAACCAAGATATCTGGAGGGTGAAGATTTACATTTGTGGAGGTAATACTGATATTACTGAAATCAGAGAACTTTTGAAGTATTGAAGCATAAAATACAGATCAAGGAACTATATATTGTTTAATTTCTTATTTTCTATGCAGGACAGTGGGGTCAGGAGTATAGATCATGATCATAAGGTAGGGCAGGACTACATTTCCCATGAGGCACTGGCCCTCAAGGACATGTCTGACAGAAATTTCTAGGACTATAATTTCTGTGAGAATGTATCCTTGGACATAATGTGATTGGATCAGGAGGAAAATAGAGAATACTGAAGAGAGGAGATGAAGGTGTGAGTTTTTTCAGTGATAATTGTCCTAGTCTGTAGCCATAGTACGAGAACTTGAGTGTTCTGGAATGTTCTTGAGACCTAGTAGATAAAGAAAAGATATTCATGCTATAGAAAGGGTGGTGAGACCAGGTGATATGCTGAGTGGAGAACCTTGACTTGTGTGGATAACATTAGCCAAACTTGGTCTGGTCATGCCAAAAATAAAACAATTTCCCTTTTTCTTTTTTTTAGCATGACTTTTGGAGATTACTTCACAATTATTCTTGGGGAGGGAAAGGCAAAAATTATGTTAACAGCACAGGGTGATGTGATATGTTTGCAATATGTCTATATTGCTATGTTTTTCATTCTTCCCTGATTATATATTTTATTGTTTCAACATGTGGTTATTATCTGGTCTATTATTTGGTTGTCCCTGGATAGCTAGAACTGATCCTCTTTCTAGAAGTTTTGAGATTCAGACTAGGTGAAAGTTCAGGTTAGATGAGATAATTATAATCATTTAAAGCACCTTCATTCAAACCCAAGTTTATGTGAAACTAGAATGGAATGGTTATGGGAGGACTTGAGGAGAAGTTAAAGGTGAAGGAGAAAGTAAAAAACTTGCACCTGTTTTACTGAAGCTTTTCCAACAATTGAGATTTTCCATTTTTGTCATCTTTGCCAATCTTATGGGTGTATTTTAGAATCTCAGATTTACTTTAATTTGCATTTCTTTTGTTATTAGTGATTTGGATCATTTCTTTATGGTCGTTGATAGCTTACTTTTTCTTTTGAGAACTGCCCATTCATATCCTTTGACCATTTATTTATTGTGGAATGACTTATTCTTTTATATCTGAATCAGTTCTTTATGTCTTATATATCAGCCCTTTATAAGAGAAACAGTGCAAAGATTTTTTTTCTTAGTAAAGGGTTTTCTGTCTAATAACTATATTGATTTTTGTACTAAAAACCATTCTATTTGTGGTAACCAAAATTGTTTATTTTATCTCTTCCGATCTTTTCTGGCCCTTCTTTGGTCAAAAACTCATCTTGTATCCATAGTTGTAAAAGGTATCTCCTTTCATGATTGTTTTAAACATTAGAAGCACTAGGAATGCTAGTTGATGCAATTTTTAAAATAATTTTGCAGTGAAATAAAAAATTTCATTGCATTGTTATTTTCTTTGCCTTGCAGATTAAAAAAAAAACACACTCCATCAATTGACACAGCTTGATCCTTTGAGGCATAGATATAAAAATATACTGCACCAACTGATGCCCTTGATCCTTCAAAATATTCTTAAATCCTAATCCACCTAAGTGCCAATTTGTTTATGATGCAATTTTTTTATAGGTAGGTCATCTGTCTACCTTAGACCTTATTGTGGAATATGGTGTTAGATACTGGCATAAGCCTAATTTTTGTCAGACTGCTTTCCAGTTTTTTCAATATTTCTTTTTTTTAATCAAATACTGAGTTCTTACCTTAGTAGTTGGTGTCCTTGGGTTTATCAAATATAATGGTACCATGCTTGTTGGTTTCTGGATCTTACCAACCTGATCAACTTTGTTTTATTATTTAATCAGTACCAATAGTGTTAATAATTAAGATTTGGTTCTGCTCTGCCTTCATCACACTTTAAAAAAATATTTCTCTTGAGAATTTGACATTTTGTTCTCCTACTGAATCATGTTCATCTTTTTCTAGTTTTTTTTTGTAATTTGATTGGTATGACACTGAATAAATAAGTCAAATTATGTATTATTAGGATTTTTATCATGTTGGCATCAAGAATAATCAATGTCTCATATTTTTAATCTATATTTGTTATTTTTAATAATTGTATCCATATAATTCCTGAGTAGGTCTTGGTAGATTAATGCTCTGATACTTAATATATTTTAAAATTATTTTGAATGGAATTTCTCTTTCTATATATTCCTGCTGGATTTTATTGGTAATGTATAGAAAGAGAGATAATTTAGGCAGATTTATTTTGTATCTTGCTTCTTTGCTAAAGTTGCCAGTTGTTTCCATTAATTTTTAGCTGACTCTCTCAGGTTGTCTAAGTAGATCATCATATTATTTTCCAAAATTGATTATTTTGTTTCCTCTTTGCATATGTGTATTACTTATTGTTTTTTGTCTTTTCATGTGAGCTAGCATTTCTAGCATTATCTTAAATAAGACTGGTAATAATGTTCATGTTGTTTTCCTCCTGATCATATGGAAAGGCTTCTAGTGTTTTTCTATTACATATATAATAAAGTGGCTTTTAGTTTTTAATCAACATTATTTATTAAATATTTGAAAGTCCACTTATTCCTATGGTTTTAATGTTTTTATAAAAATAGAAATAAATATTATATAAAATTATCTTTTGTAAATAAAAATTTTTTATATCTATTGATAATTATGTGTTCTTTTATTGCTTGTGTTACTAATTTGCTTTATTATATTTATAGTTTTCCTAATATTGAACTATAAACATATTCCTGGTATAAATTGAACTTGTTCATAATGTATAATAATTTTAACATGTTGCTCTAGCTTCTTTGCTAATATTTTATTCAATATTTTTGCATCAATATGCATTGATTTTGTCTCTTTTCCTAGTTTTGGTATCAAGACTACATTAATTCCATAAAAAGAATTTGGTAGAATCCTTTTTTTCCTATTCTTATGAAAAATTTATATAATATCCAGATTAATTTTTCTTCGAATGTTTTATAGAATTCTTTCTAAATTCATCAGGTCTTGGTATTTTTTCCTTCTGGGAAATTCTTTATGGCTTGTTAAAATTATTTTTCTGAGATTTGTTTATTTGGATTCCATATTTCTTATTATGATAATTTGGGCATATTATATTTGAGTAAATACTCATCTATTTACTTTCATTTATCACATTTTGGGGCATATAACTGGGAAAATAGTTTCTATGGGTCCTATAACTTTTGATGGTAGGGTGAAGTAGGGATGTATTATAGTAATTTAGGGATTACTCAGTTTAAGGAAGATAGGGAAAGGGGGACTTAGGTTTCCTTCTTAGGCGATCCAGACCATTTCACAGTGACTTATAAATATTAGGCATTTAATAAATGTTTTTTGACTTAGGTAAGGATAGAGATATGGAGACATGGCTGGAAGTTCATATGAAAAAAGATAATGGGATTTTAGTGGACAAGTTCAATATGAATCAATAATATAATATGGTAGTATGGCCTGTCCAACAAGAACTTATTAAACCACTGCTGGGATCTAGAGATGAAATGAAAACTACCTCCTATCCTCAAGTAGCTGACATTCTACTGTGAGGATACAACATGCAAACTGAATATATGTATATGTATAATGTATAATATGCAATAAATGTATATGTATATGTATGTATATATATGTATGTGTAAGTTTGTGTGTGTATTCTGTGTGCATCTTATAACCTCACAGTAGGATGTAGGCTACAAATACTCATATATTTGTGTACATATGGTCTATCTATATATGTATATAATACATGTGAGCATATATGTGCACCCATGACTCATATGTATATGTGTGTACATATATATGTATATTATATATATTCTCTTTATGTGATGATTTGAGGTGAAAAAGAGCACTAAAATCTAGGAGGATCAGGAAAGTCTTCCCATGTGAGGTGGCACAAAAGCAAAACCTTGAAGGAAGCTGTAAATTCTATGAGGTGGAGGGTAGGCGGAAGTACATTATAGGCATAGAGCACAAATAGGAATGAAAAGTTTAGAAGAAAGCAGGAAGTCCAGTTTGCCTAAGATAAAGCATGTAAAGTGAGGAAATATGTAATAAATGTGAAAAGGTAGGCTGGAATCAGATTGTGAAAGGCTTTAAATGACATGCTGGGTGTTTGTATGTTGTCCTAGAGAAAAAGAAGGAGCCATCAGGAGCAAGGGGTAGAAAAGTGAATTGTGTTTTAGGAAAATTATTATCTGTGTATATGTTCTATTCATACAGTAGAATGTAAGCTCCTTAAAGGGAGGGACTTTTTTTTTTGTATCATCAGTGCTTAGCACTGTGCTACATGTCAAGGAGATATCTAATCAATACTTATTAAATTGAACTGAAATACAATGATCTTGGTCCCAGTGTGGTTACACACACACACACACACACACACACACACACACACACACACACACACACACACCCCAGATAATTTTGAATAAGCATGGAAACCCATCATGACGACAATATTAGATGGATTGGGGCTTGGCATGGGACAATTGTGGGCTACACAAGTTGAAGTTTGAGGTCTTTAGGTATCATGGGACTGTAACATGAGCACATTTAGAAAGTTCAAGGCAAAGAAGCATGTGGGCTGTGCACTGCCAATTTTGCTCCTTTACACTTATGTGTAGGGATAGATCTTCTAAAAAAAATTGCAAGGAGCCAGAGAGAATGACCATTTGAAATTGATTCCAGAAGTATGGTATATAGCTATGCAGGAGGTTGATCAGGAAAATGCTCTGATCAACTTGATGAGCTAACAAGATGGTGAGCCTCTGTTTGAGGCTTTGATTGTATCTTCCTGTGGAGGGTATGGACATGCCCATTGATAACCTCGTTAAGAGCATTGGGGGGGGGGTTTCTATTGGGCAATGTCCAGAAACATCTTATTGAGGGTAAGGATACCTCCTTAAGTCTCACTGATGGAGATGAAGCAATCAGTTATCTTGGGCTATTGCAGATTGATTAGGGATGAATTGACTGGTTCAGGTTGTTGTGGGAGAGGATTTTTTTGTGTTAAGCTAATGAAAAGAGTCCCTTGCAGAGTTGGTCTTTTCCGTTTTTGGAGAGATACTGAGATAGTGCAGCACAGATCAAAGAGTAGCCGAGCTAAGAGCTTTCCTGGCTTCTGGGAGGAGTTAGGGGTGGGGAAGCCTGTGCATGCACATGGCCTCTCTCCAGGGAGCCACTAATGACATACTGGGACAGAGATTCACTGCCATTATACATATTCTCACTCACATAAACTGAAAGGTGGCAGGCAGACAGAGAGTTGTGAAGGTCTTTCAATCACATGGTCCTAGAACAATTGACCCCAAAGTTTTAGTCCTAGCTGTGAAGAGACAGTGATTGATAGACCTTCTTAGTCTGAGAGATAGGAGGAGTGGAAAGCAAAATCTCATGGCTGATATGGGAGTTCGTGAACCCAAACTTTCTAGGGAAAGAAGCAATTCCTAGGCAACTCAAGCCTCTTGGGGGGGGATGGGAAGAAAATGGTCACACATATGGTCATGAATCTGGAGGGACCACAAGGGACTGAGCTATGATACAGAGGGGCAAAACACCTAAACTGTGCCCTCTGATGCTATTATGAGTCTTTTTGGACAGTGCAGGTGAAAGGTTGCCTCTCTTTGTTTTATTTTTTGGAGAGAGTACAAGGATTAAGATAGTCCCATAAGGGAAGTGTCCTGTATGCATCCCAGTAAAAATGAGACTCAGCCGGGGGTAGCTAGGTGGTGCAGTGGATACAGCACTGGCCTTGGAGTCAGGACTTGAGTTCAAATTTGGCTTCAGACACTTACTAGCTGTGTGACCCTGGACAAGCCACTTAATCCCTATTGCCTCCAAAAAAAAAAAAAGAAAAAGAAAATGAGATTCATCAGAATGTTGGGGGGATGACTTTTTTTTTTTTTAGTAACCTTAGGTTCATTTCCCTTCTGAGGAGAATATAAACATGAGATGCTGTGAATATGAAGGATTTAACAGGTTTCTAAGGAAAAATGTCAGTCTTACTGGAGGAGGAAGGAAGAATTATATCAGCTGGTTATGGATGACCATACACCCTTTATGACTTTTCTGCATTTACTGTTGAGTGCACTAAAGATTGTCCTATAACTGATTTGACTTGTTATCTTAAATACATAGGAACAGGAGATTCTTTCTCCCACATCTGTGAAGACCTTGACAGGAGATATATACAAGCCAGATTCTGAGATTTCTCAGACGCATATCCAATGGGGACAAAATTAGAGATAATTGCTGGGGACACTGTATTCAAGATTGAACCTATTTTCTCTGGGCCCAGAGCATTGGGGACTAGCCAAGGGTTGTAGCTGCTTTTAGGCCTAAACTTGTAGTTGCTTGTAAAAGACAGTCTACAAATTTTAGCTGCAAGGTAAAAGAGGGCAAAACTTTTCATAGAGCCATGTGGGGACATGGATGGTTTCCACCCACAAGCTGAAAAGCCAAGGTAAAGAATGATCACAGCACCATAGAATTTCAGAGATGCAAAGGATCTCAGTGGTCATCTAATACAACCTGTATT